GGGGGGGGGCTAGATCCGCCCTTGCGAATAGTACAAGTTGTCAAAATAATGTGAATAGAGTGGAATACTGTGTTGGATACCATTGGCATGGTATTTCAGTGAGATAGCACTCAAAAAGTCGGCATCAGTTCCGATCTATCACAAGGAGGCAATCATACCAACACACCCTGCCTCCACCCTATAAAACCAAACCAAACCAATCTAATTCCAGTTAAAACATAATTTATCCCTCCTTTTTACCACTTCATGAGGCGACTGATGTAGGCTCCGGTAGATTCCTTCTTTTGTGTCTTCTTTCTAAAAGGAAATTGCAGTAGGCAATGCCACAAGGAATGTCCCATTGGATGTTATGGGAAAGGAAATAATGGTTGGGGCTCCTGCAGAATCGGGATTTTTCTTTGTCCTCTGCGTGTAGGATATCGAAGAATTCCAACTTTGATCTGCTGCCCCATCAGATTATATACGTGGATTCTACAAGGTTATCCGATCTTTTCTCGCCTCTCAACTTTCCTGACGTGACCTGCCTAGACTGTGTGTGTGGTTCAACGTCATCTGCACAGCAGGAAAGATAAAAGTAAATAGGAAAGAAAGGAGACAGGAAAACTATCACAAGTGTTGCGATGGGAGCAGCATATCAATTCTGGTCTCTTTCGTGTTCTCTTTGTAGAAGACATGTAACAAAACCCACTATTTTGCAGGGGCTTCATGTTTGTCGCCTTGTACGATACCTATGCAGGGGGATACATCAGGTCTATTCTTGGTTTCTTTAATGTTAATAGGACGTTAAAAGCCGATGATAAAGTAGAACCNGGGGGGGGGGGGGGGGGGGGGGGGGGGGGGGGGGCACTTTAGTTGCCTCTAACGATCATGCAATGATATTCAGCAGGCCTATTCTTTCCATGAACCAGCACGGGCTGTCTCCCTTTGCACTTCTTTTCATATGACCATGGCTATAAAAAGGACGAACCGATACAAACTTACATATAGGCTGTCGATCAGATCAGTTATCTCACCAGAAAGGAAAGGGCCTGTTGCTAACGACGATCGAAGATATATGTAAAATAACAAATTGAGCTAGAAAGTTCAGAAAGATCCAGACGAGAGGATACATGAGTACATATACAATGGCTAGTTAGGGTAAATAACATCGTTTTTAAAATTTGAAGCTCATGGATATTTACGTGTAAACAAAACTATGGTTAAAAATGACCCAGTCTGCAAATGATCTCAGCGCAGTCAAACTTGTTACAGCCATGGTCATATGTATACCACAGAGGACAACACGCATATGTGACAGGTGTGGACTGGAGGAAATAAACATACGATGATGATGATGATGATGATGATGATGATGATGATGACCATTGAAATTGTTTTGAAAACGTTCATCTATATGATATTTAAATGGTTTAGAATATGTCAGACTAACAGATAATATAAGTTGAAATGTAGGAGAATTAACAGAAAATGAACATATCTTTGCTTTAAATAATATGTAAATCTTTGAATAGGTTTATGTACACACATGGCAACACGTTCTGGTACAATGTATGACCTCAGCTATTGATACGACAAAATAAACAATAAAACAAAAACAAAACGTTACTAAATATTTTTTAAATGGAAGTTATGTTGGTGAAAAAACTAGACTTATACAGAAAAAATCATTAATTCCACTCTACTGTATATATAACACACCGAAACCTTTTTTTAATTTTCAGTGATTTTTTCAGTTTTAATAAAAGCGTTATGAAATGGATTGAAACCATACATCTAAAACCTTTCTCCGCTATAACTCAAAACTGTTACTGCCTAATTCCTTTGATATACAAAGGGAACTTTGAAAAGGCAGCCCAGTCTCCCCATACATATATATATTCCTTTTTGTCGGTAAAAACTTAGCAATTATAGTATTAAAAAAATAACAAGATCAAGAGTATTTAGATACCAAAAAAATCCTATCTCCTCTTAAAAAATTGACGGAATTATTATCTCAACAACCTCAATTTTTCAGCAGATAGTCATAATAAGTTATTTCGAACTACATATGTAATACATATAACCAGGGATGTGTAGTGGGCTATATATACTGTCGCTGATATAACTGTTCCGTGATAAAACTGTGAATTTGAATTGAAATTCAAACTATATTGACTTTAAACTATATTCAACAGAACAAGAAATATGGTACATCTTAAGTACTTATTTCGAATTACAAAAAAAAACCTTTTCATTTTTGATCGGGATCGATTCGGGTGTTGGTTTGGCAAGTAGTTACATCCCATTTACAAGCGTTTTGCATGCCAAACCAAACGTTTTGCCGATGTGTATTACACACTTCCGTCTATTTACGCATGCGCAACTAGAAAGGAGGCTCCGAACGTGGCGACGTCAGTATAGACAAGATAATTATAATTAAATATTTAAGGTGAAATCATTCCATTTACAGACATACTTCACTCGCTAAAGAGGTGATTTTGTTCAGATAAAAAGACCATGGGTTCGTCTGGAGAATTTGGAAACCCCCTGAGGAAGTTCAAATTAGTTTTTCTGGGGGAGCAAAGTGGTAAGTTTACATGGAAATGTCAGAATCATGAAAGCCTAAATGAAAACATTCAATCAAGCTTAGCTGTTATTTTATATTTATATCGGTATCAATATGTCGTTTGTTTTCATGTCAAGTGACTGATGTGTCTACGTTGAGACTATTATCTGTTTAAAATGCTAATTCTTTGCTGGCTAAAATGGTCTAGTTTTGCCGATGTTATGATTGACAGATCGGTCTGTGAGTCACGGCCACGGGTACTTCAATACGTGTAGATATTCACATCACAACTTATATAAATATGAGTAGTGTTTTGTAAATAGAAATAATGTATGGTAAACTGCCAAATGACCAGGGTAATTTCCGGACAAATAGTGTGCCAGTTGAGTGAAAAGGTTATATAAAGTTAACAGATTCGTCACCTGGGATCTATCAGTTGGGTCATTCTGTGGCCTTAGGCATGTCAAGAACTTTAGTTATAATGAGCCGCCCGGTGAGACTAGCTACCTTTGGAGAACTAAATGGTAAGGTTGTTATGGTATGTGACATTGAAACAAGCTACCTTGCTGTGCAAAAAGCAGCTGTCAGACCACAGGTACTAACCTCGTCTGTCAATACACCTATAATATAATCTTATAGATGTATTGACAGACGAGGCTAGTACCTGTGGTCAGACTGTCAATTAGTCCCAGTAAACGCGACAGGACAGTCTGTTAACCTTTACAACTAACTGGTCACTGAGTTGATTTGTTTTAATATTTGACTTGATACTGAGTAAAACAGTGGGAAAATACTGCTACAAGAAAAAATGTATTATGAGTAACTTTTATAGGCTTCACAATAATTTTTAAATGCATAAAAAGAACATTCATACATTAAGCAATAGTCCGACCTAAACTGGAATACTGCTCTTCTATAGGGACCCACGCATCACACACCAAATCTGACAGATACAGAAAGTACACCCAGACAGGAGCATGATACTTATCGTGCACAAAAATTACACGAAACAAGCTCTGTAAAAGGCATGCATTTTTTTTTTATAGATACTCTAGACTGGTTCTCACTAAAAACATGCAGACTACAAACCGACTTAAACTATTCTACAAAATTATATACACCATCATGAAGCAATAGAGCCCAGCACCATCCTCATACCTACAGCCCACGGACAAGACATGCAAGACCTAAAAGTGATTCAATAATTAACTGTATAAAGCATAATTGTTTCAGCAACTTCTGTCTCCATCCGACAATGAGCAGCTGAAGCTGTTTTTTCTTTCTTTCTGGAAGTGACTTAAAAAAGATAGTTAGTTGTTCATCCTAACTGGACATTTGCATGTGCATACCTGTATATTATGGGTCATGGTCATTCAGATGTTTCCTCCGTCAGCCGACCACTATACACTGCACCCCTGCAGGTGGGGGATCGGGAAAAGAAAGAGGTGGTTGTTTTAGTGATGTTCGATCAGGATGCACTCCGACACAGCTGTTTGATTCATGGACACTATGACTGAAAAAAATCTTCAAAAAATACTGGTTTCTGAAATTGTTTTGACAGCTTTTTTTAACACAAAAAATGAGAACTTGTTATGCTGATTCTGTGTGACCCCTCTTAAAAAAGGATGTTGTAATTTAAATTGAAATTACAGAGATATTTTATAAATCAGAAGTTGTCTTATCATAGACTCGTTGTCAATTTTCTTTTTTTGCACATTTTCTTCCTTGTCTGATAATGTCCATTACAGACAGTCACTGTGTAATATCTATCACCAAATGTCAAATATCTCCCAACAGCTCTTGTTCTGGGGATGTTTTTGTTAAGGTCTGAAATGGTTGGCAAACATTAACAAAATTTTGGGGAATGATAACACAACTACATAGACATTATCTCGTCTGTTGAAAGAACAGATTGGATATGCTGATGATGACATATTAAGTCCTGAAAATGGGTGTGTACAACTACCTGCTTGTCACAGTTTTAACCCTTTCACCCCTATGTAACTTAAGTAGTCTCATCTGCCATGTATTGATATGGGTGAGTCCATTTTGGTCTACAGTGGTGAAAGGGTTAAATGGATGGTACTTATGACTGTTTAGTTCTCTGTATACTTATTACTCTGTATAATAAACAACAAACTCCTTATATGCAATTAGCAACTCGGTCTTTAGGAACGACTGAGTCGGCGTCTAATTCAAACTGTTGTTTATGCATGTATATATATCATACTTGTAACCCACACTCGGCAATCTCCCCCTCTCAGAGCCTGTTTATCTAAATAAACCAAGCCTGCCACCTAACCTGAAAACCCATTTTAGGGATACAGGAGATGTACCAGCCCAATGCTTCAGGTTTATCTTGCTGGGATTTCTTAACATGGAGTATAGACATGATCGTCATACAGTTGTGGGATCGCACAACGTTACACGATGTGCTGTGTGCGAACGATTAAAAATTGGACGATCATTGCTTGCGCGCATTTTTGCGGAGGATGGGCAAACGTTGTGCGATAACGATTGTGGTTGCATTGGTGTAAATTGAGGAATGTCATAGCAATATATACGGTTACGGTGAAATACATAAAATAAATTATTTAGTATGTTTCTATATTCTAGCTACATCTATAAGCTTATCTTTCTGTCTATAATTTCTTAAATTTAGAAATGGTGTTTTCTGTGTGTTTTAAACAACCTAAATCCACATGTAAAGTTACAACATAGTCTATGCAATACAGGTAAACATAGCCACTTTGTACCTGGACCATAGTTATCCCCGCAGGGGCACTTACGTAACTCGCCAAGGTGTGAAAACCAGGTGAAGGGGAGCTTATAGACCAAAACGAATGCAAATAACAAATACTAAACGTCCAGTTATGTTTCATAACGGTTATACCGTATCACATATCAGCTCTATATGTCGGGCACAGGCCAGGTAAAACTCCGGTCACTCATCAAATTGATATTTACCGGTTCTGTTACCTAGGAGCAAAACCCATTCTTGACAGTCTAATTAACGGTCACTGTAACACTGTGTAACACGCATTGTAAAATTGTACATAATATTAATTATCGTGATGAGAAATTACAGTAATATATACAGTGTACATTATTGCATACGAACCTTCCATATTGTTTTCGTTCCGTAATATTGATCAACAAAGTGTACCAAATCGCACAGTTGTGCGGAGGAAAGCTCACAACGGGGCGAACAATTGTTAAATCGCACTGTTGTGCGGTCGATGTATGCACAGTGTGTGCACAGTATTTTTGGTGCATTGTACGGTCCCACAACTGTACATTCAGGAGTTACCCCTATACAAGATATTATTTCCCTTATATTACAATGAATTACGCTGAATTTAAACAGTCCGGTCCTGAGCTGACAAAAAGCTAGAATGCCTAACAAACTAACCCCACCACGCTTCCGAAACAATCTCATTGGTCGGCTATAAACTGCATGTGCTTCTCAACCTATACAAAAAGTGCCACATACCTACAGGGCAGATATTTCCCGCTATTCTACTTACTGCAGGAAATTTAAAGTCTACAGTGTTCAGTATACTGTGACCATGCATGAAGAGGATATCCTTCCTCCCTGGGTACACATCTTGGTGTGGGACCTATAGGCTGTTGGGAGGACATCAAACCCCATACAAACAAACAGTACTAACATGTTTACCTATAGTAAAACAGAGTTTTGATATTTACATTAACAATCAACAATAAAAGGATTTAAATAGTGTACAGGTCCATTTACTTAATTTTATGTTCTGTGCAGTATAGGGTAGAGATTGAGTTGATATTCCCCAGGCCATGGTCGTTTAATTAACTTGTCTAGCCCTGGTCTAGTGATCACCTTCATTTACATTTAATATTGAAGTATACCAATGTCCATATATGTTAATGTATTCTGATCTTGTGTTTTTTTTATTTCAGTTGGAAAGACATCGTTGATCACACGTTTTATGTATGACAGTTTTGACAACACGTATCAGGTAAAATTTCATGTTCATATAATCAATACTGCTAATGCTGTAAATGAAGCAAATGTGTTGTGTACGAGTTGTCTTCAGCATATTGGTGCACTTGCATAATAATCAATAAATCAAACTTTATATAATGAATGTATAGATGTGGGTGCAAAACTGAGACCAAATTATGACAAATAGTTATTAACTTGACCAAATGTATGAGGTGAAAATTATATGCAAATCAGCAATATTAGTATTACTCCCCATCTGTGAGAAAGTCATCTGCAACTGTAGGTAACACACATAATTTTTAGCTCACCTGCAGGCCCAAAGGGCCAAGTACTAGTGAGCTTATGCCATGATGTGGCGTCCGTCTGTCCGGCGTCAACGTTTTACTTTAAACAATTTCTTCTTTGTAACCAAAAGGCCTAGGATGATGATATTTGGCAAGTAGCATGCTGGGATGAAGGGCTACTAAGTTTGTTCAAATGAATGACCTTCATGCATCCATTTTCAAGGTCACAGGGGTCGAATATGTTAAAATGTTTTAACAAATTCTTCTGAATAACCAAGAGGCCTAGGGTGATGATATTTGGCCAGTAACATGCTGGGATAAAGGGCTACCAAGTTGTTTCAAATCTTCAAAACAACTTCTTCTGAATAACCAAGTAGTCTAGTGTGTAGAAATTTGGCCAGTAACATGCTGGGATAAAGGGCTACCAAGTTTGTTCAAGACCTTGACTTATAGTCCAGGTCACTTGGGTCAAGTATGTTTAAAACCTTTAAACAATTTCTTCTGAATAACCAGGAGACCTAGGGTGATGATATATGGCCTGTGATTTGCTGGAATAAATGATTACCAAGTTTGTTGAATGCATGACCTTGACTTATATTCAAGGTCACAGGAGTCAAAATCTTTTAAAAGACTTCTCCTGAACAACCAAGAGGCATAGGGTGATGATATTTGGCCAGTAACATGCTGGGATGAAGGATTACCAAGCTTGTTGAAATGAATGACCTCCATCCAAATCTTTAAAAAAACTTCTGAATAATCTAAAGATCCAGGTAAATGATATTTGGCCAGAAGCATGCTGGTACATGAATGAAAGGCTATAAAGTCTGTTCAACTTATATATTAATGTCCTTGTATGATTTTCAAGGTCACATGTGTCACATATTTAAATCTTTTAATAGATTCTTTTGAATCAAAACACTGGTATTTTGCCTGTAGCTGTATTTTAGTCCACTTTACAGATTACAAATGAGATTCCAGGCGAGGTCTTGACCAGCATGACAGCTCTTTACCAGCATGACCTCTTGTCAAGCATGTGCATGACCTCTCAAAAAGATCATAGGTTCTGTGTCTCTAATTAGACAATTTGGGGGGGGGGGGGGGGGGGGTCAGATATTAGAGTAACGCAGCACAGATGCTAGCACATATACACATCATACTGTAACAACTTTAAAGGCTGAGCAAACTTGAAATGAAGAAAAAAACAGATTTATTTAATATTTTTTGTGAATTATATTGATCACACAAATGAATGTAAACAATATATTTTCAATTTTGTATTTTGACAAATTTCATAACAGCTGGTCCAGCAACAGCTTAATAGCACAAAACTGCCCAGTTGGTTGTTACCAGGCTTTGGTGTTAGGGTTTTGGCAGATTTTGAGGTTGAGAAGGACAATTTGTCTGTAACTAATGTTTTGTCCCAAGGACAACATTCACATGATAGATCTGCTTTAAAATAAAATCTTATTATTTTTGCTATGAACATTGACTAGTGAGTTACTCTGGATGTTTTGAAGTAAGTGTGAGAAATAAACATCTACCCAAATCATGGCTGCTCTTACAAAGTAGAGTTCCTGCTTAATATAAGCTTGTTGCAGATTCTGGAGTCATGGTTACAGAAGCACATGATCATATCTGGTTGTACCCTAAAACGCAGTTTGATTGCCTCAGTAGCTATATAGAGATTCTATGTGAAGTGCTCTATACAATTTTATTTTGCTCAATCAAACATTTCATGTCTTTGTTCAAAGAACATTATGACTTTGCATAAATGTTCAAAGGCAATCAGAAAAGTTTAAGTCTTTATGTTGTAGATAAAAAGAAAACAGGAACGTTTGTTCTTTGTATACAGATTTCGAATGAGGCACGATTGATATTTCCTTAATCACCGATTTCTGTGGCTCCATTTTATCACCAATTTTCATTGTCCTCTTTTATCTTATTTCCAATGTGTCTTTTCTTTGACATTTTGTTGTATCATTACTAAATGCGATGTAAGGAAACTATAATGATTCAATTTGGTGATAAAAAAATATCTACCCGAATTGATATGCACCAGGTTTTCTATGAAACATCCTTGGTACCAGAGATAAACAAAGCCTGAATAGGGAGGCAGGGTAGTCTAGTGGTAGGACGCCGGGCTCATGACCGAAGGGTTGTGGGTTCGAGTCACGGCATGGCACTGTGTTGTGTCTTTGAGCAAGATACTTTACTCCGCTTGTTCCAGTCTTCTCACAGCTGTATATATGAGTACGTGGTTGGGCAGTGCTAGAAATGTAGAAAGCTAGCTGTGAGTGCCGAAATGGCAGCACCGGCTGTACTGTGTACATGTCTATATCCATCATGTAATGTCTTCTAGGTTCAGTATTTTTCAAATGAACTGGTTGGTCATTGGAAAAATCACTCAGTAATGTATACATTTTTGTAGAGAAACTAAAAATTGGAACAGTTTGACATTCCATATTTTCAAATGTAATTTTGTGAGAGAGAATTTTTTTTTGCTGAAACTGATGCTATATATTTCTACATCATGATCAGAGAAAAAAAATAATTGCTGAAACTGAAGCTATATATTTCTACATCATGATCAGAGAAAAAAAATAATTGCTGAAACTGATGCTATATATTTCTACATCATGATCAATTATTGATGTGTCCATTACTGCATTAACAACCGAGTATCAAACAGAAATCACTAACAAAGAGCGGTGAAACCCTACAAGACTAAAGCCTTTTGTTTAGATCTACGTGCACATGATTTTGGTCAGCGGTACTTTGTCCATTGTGCTAGTTGTTGTCAGTAACAACAATTGGTCCAATGCACTGCTCTTATTGCTATAGCTAGCTAGGAAAATATCAATATAAACATTTGTTTGATAGGGTATGGTGACAAGCAAAAATCTATTTTTTTCTGAATTCTGCCAGTTTATGAATACAATAAGCATATAAGTACATGGATATTGTCCGTAGCTTCAGTACAGTATACCCACTTGATAGTTACTCTTGATTTATATGTTACATATGGGATTGATATCAGCATCTTTTATACTTGTACAAATCTATTGTCTCGCACTATGATGTAAAGATGAACTGACTGCACTCAAATATGCGTGGTAGATGGCAACATTTATTGATTCATCTCAAACTAGCTATAGACTGTACGGCCACATACCCCCTGTATACTATGTAGCGTACAACTGACATGCAGTTCTTGAATATAATACTGCATTTACTCGTTCATGTACAATAGAAATTCTGAATACCGTAAAAACAAATGGATCATGTGATCTTGTAGTTGCATGAGATAACAGTGATTTTTGGGACTTAAGACTACGTAATTAAAATATTGACTGAACAAAAATATACAAAAATTATTTCATACTGTGGAATTCTTCACTCTTATAATGTTAAGTTAAGTGAACAGTCCATCAATGACTCAAATTAATTAAATATTGACTGAAAAAAATATATACAAAAATTATTTTATGCTAAGGAATTGGAATTCTTCACTCTTTTAATGTTTAGTTAAGTGAATAGTCCATGACTCAAATTAGTTAAATATTCAAGAAGTGACTTTAATTGCATTGACACTCTACTGGCAGTGACTGTATTTGTGTACCGGTACATTCACTTTGGGGGGGGTTAGTGAATTTGACAGTCTCTTTTAATAATTTTTAAAACATTTGGTGATGTAGGTTTATATTATCAGGACATATAAAATATAAACAGATTCATACACATGGGTATTCAGAGAAATTATTTTTCTCCTGCCCACACAACTCCAACAACACAGGTGGCATGGAGTATACATTGGTCTGGGGGTGGATGTTGCAGTATCTGTGTTTTAGCATTCAAGTGAGGTGCTACTATAAATGATGCTGTTGGAAGCACGGTCCCATGGCCACTACAAACAGAACACATTACACCTCCAGCACACACGCAGGCATACACACAAGGGGAGATATTAGCCAGGTGGCATAGGACTAATAGTAAGCGCCTGATAAGGCAGCTCCTGCAAATTCCTCAAAATCGTATTGATTAATGTATAATATGCTAGTTGTATTAATTGTATATCTATGTATCGTAAAGCGCTTTAGAGTGGATTATGATAGCTAGATAGGGCGCTATATCAAATGTGTATTATTAATATTTTCAACACCACAAGTTTATTGTTTATTTCACATCTTCCAAATTTTACTGTTATGCAGCCATCCGTAGTAGTCAAAGCATGTAGATGTGAAAGAGAGCAACAAAACTATTCTTGTGGTGTTAGGATCCTTAAATGTTTTATTGGTAAGGATCTCTAATAAATCACTGTGGATCCCCCTACGTTGAGGAACCCTATCACTTTTATACATTATGTTAACGTTGGATCCCACTTTTTTTTTCTTGTTTATAAAACAGCTAGATATTATGGGGATGTGTGTTTATATTACACCCAATGTGATACAAGTACATGTACTGTGTTGTGTGCTCGTTAAAATAAACATCTTAAACAAGCTTATGTTATTGTGTTGGTTATATATGGATGCATGTAACATTTTTTGTCTTGATCATTCTTTTTGTATACATTTACATGTACATTTATCCAGATTTTTAATTCTCTTTTCAGGCGACCATTGGAATAGATTTCCTGTCAAAAACCATGTACCTAGAAGATAGAACAGTAGGTATACCAAGTACAACGAACAAATATTTTTGTTGAAGTATTCCTGTTAGATATCTTTTTGAAGAATAGAGTAATTAATATGAAACCATACCAATTTACTGGACAGGGAAATACTATAAGGTAATGTTTGGTATACACCGTACTGTTTAACAACAGAACATTAGGTTAGACTGTTGAAGTCTGTAATATAGCATTACAACAATAGTAGTACTTATTCTCATCAACTGTGTGGAAATACATGGTAATTCTATCCAATACATGTACATTTACATAACAAAATAACCTCATTGCATTTGGTGTTCCAAAGACAAATGTATTAGCCATATAAATTCTTTTAAATGTGTTGTGGAGACACGGTAATCTAGTGGTAGGACGCCAGACTCATGACCGAAGGGTTGCTGGTTCGAGTCACGGCACAGCACTGTGTTGTTTCCTTGAGCAAGATACTTTACTCCGCTTGTTCCAGTCTACTCAGCTGTAAATGAGTACGTGGTTGCATTGGGCAGTGCTAGAATTGTTGAATGTTAGCTGTGAGCGCCAAAATGGCAGCACTGGCTTTTTTTTCAACTTCCTTTAACTGACTATTGTACCTAGAAGAAAACATGTAGTGTTCTAATTGCTCAGGCACTTTATGATACTTCCCATCAGCAATAATGCTTCCCTAACGTTTTCCTTGCAGTATCTTTGAACCATAATACAACTCTTTGCCTGGTAGCTAATGCAGAACTGTTTTCACTCGCTGACACCTCTCACGGCATGCCATGTTGTTTACAATGAAATTGTGTATTATATACATGCTCTATCAGAAATGAAACAATAAAATGTACATTTAAAATGGTGGTCAATTGCTTGAGGAATACCATGCTCTGTTAGTTATTATACATTTTCATGAATATAATTTTATGGCAGTAAAATCCGGCGGTCATTTTCAATGAGGAGATAAAATAAATCATTGTTATTTTTATGCAGAATTTGGGAAAAAGATATAGAAAAAAATGCATGCTTTACCTTGATGTCCCTTTAAAGAAACCTAATGTTTGTGCTATAATTTCAGATCAGACTACAGTTATGGGATACAGCAGGACAGGAGAGGTTCCGAAGTTTAATACCAAGTTACATTAGGGACTCCTCGGTAGCTGTTGTAGTCTATGATATAACAAGTATGTATAACAGTGCAATCTCTACCCAGAGTTGTCCTTCCTTACACTCACGTACACTTTTGTCAACTGCTGAATGCCAAGGATCTCGGCAAAGATGTGAACATTTACTTTAGCTAATGCTTTTATTCTTTGCAGCAGTGTTTTACATAATTCACTGATTAAAAAACTTGGATTCTCCCAAACATGTCACTGTGACAACATTTGAGTGCATCATTGTGTTATACATCTTGGAATCTATCTACGTACCCCACATCAACAAAACCACATTGTTAGCACATGTTGCATTCATGATGACAGGAAGAGATTATATTGGCAAAATTGTAAAGAAATATGAACCAGCTTTTGGTTTTAAAAAGCAAACAGGTCAAAGCATTGTAATATATATGACAGAAAAAGTGACATTCTGGTGAACTTACCATATTGTATGGTTTGACTTCACATGATCAGAGGCTAATTATAATGCAGACTATTTTTTTCAGTTGACAGAAGTGTTAGTGAGTGTAAGGAAGGACAACTCTGGGTAGAGATTGATTGTAGTGAAGCAGCATTTTTATTTAATTTCTAATTTAAAATTAGAAAATGCATTGTTTTTTCCCCGTTTAACTCATTCACCCCTGAAGACACATTTGAACTCTTCCAATTCTTATGTTGAAATAGTTCATTATGAAATTTCAAGGGTGAATGAGTTCAAAAGGCTTCTTTCAAAGGTAAAGTTGTGCTACATTGTACGTAGATGAAAATGAGACATTGAACACTTTGGTGCTGTGTATTCATATGTGTACACGTGTTGACACACAAAAAAATAAGTATCAAGTATCAGAATTAAATTGTATACAGTACCGTGCTGTTGAGATTTTATTTTTTCTGAATAACAGTATTAACCACCTCTTTCAGATGCCAATTCTTTTCAACAAACATCTAAGTGGATAGATGATGTGCGGACAGAGCGGGGCAGTGATGTTATAATTATGTTAGTAGGAAACAAAACCGACCTATCGGACAAGAGGTGAGTAGGACACATGTACAAATAGAAATTTATCTAAGATGCAGATGTCCCATGTCACATCTGAACACCAAAGCTGGAGTAGTATAATTATATGCAAAATATTAACCAGATCAAACGTACCCAAACTATGAAACAATCAGTTTAGTAATGCAACAAAATGATTTATATGACCAAATGTACAAATTTTATTCCTGCCAAGGTCACAGGTCAAGGATACAAAATTGTTGTGCAGCATGCTGTACACATAGAGATGTATATAAACATGTGAAGTTGTGTGACCCTTGCTACATGTACAATACTTTGTCCATAACAGACTTAAACATGTATGATTGAACTAAGATGAGGTCAGATCATTTATAAAATGGTGTTCAATGAATCAACATACTGTGCTCATTAAAGTTCAATGAATCAGCATACTGTTCTCATTAAAGTTCAATGAATCAACATACTGTTGTCATTAAAGTTCAATGAATCAACATACTGTTCTCATTAAAGTTCCATGAATCAGCATACTGTTCTCATTTAAGTTGATAAGCATGTGAGGTTACATCTAGCTGCTGTACTGACTGTGATCAATAGAATCCATCCCTGATGAGAGGTATGGATAAGGTTATTCAAACCCAAGGGATAAAATATTGAGCAGGAAACCCAAGGCTTCTTTTGCTCAATATGTTATCCCGAAGGTTTGAATAACCTTATCCATACCTCACATCAGGGATGGATTCTATTTCTTGCTTATTACCTAAAACTCATAAAAACAGCTTCTAGTAAAGTCGAAACTGTCCAAACATTTCTCATTTGAATTTTCCAGCACCGCCGGAAATGCGGATATCTCTAGTATGCAAGAAAACACTATATACCCCTCACTACTTCATGCCAGGACTTATATAAACCTGTTTCATTGTACATTTTGTAGCTAAAATTTAAACTCAAGATTTGGACATGCTTGTAACCAACCAAATCAAATTATTTTTAGATGAAAAATTGTGGAAACTAAAAATTCTTTCTGTCAAACCTAAATGTTTTGCACAATTTTAGGGTCAATGTCTTTTCTATATTGTTCAAATTTTAAATACTGCAACAAATTTGTTGAAACGATAACAACCACTAACTGGTGATGAGTTTTACCAGAATGACAATCATTGTTTATATTCTCCAGACAAGTGACAACAGAAGATGGAGAAAGGAAGGCAAAGGAATTAAATGTAATGTTTATAGAAACAAGTGCCAAGGCCGGCTACAATGTTAAACAGGTGAGTCTATAAATATAGGAGAACTAGTGTACTTTAGAAACTGTTGATGTCACAGAGATATCTGACTGGTAAATTCCTTTATGAGATAAACAGGTTATTCATGATATCCAGTTCAGGTAACACTGAAAAAAATACAAAGAAAGAATCCCTGTTCAGTTCCTACAACATTACATGGAAGACTGGTTTTACTGATTAATACTGTAATGTATTTGGCCTGTAATCACTGTCATTTATATGAGATTGGTATTTGTTTCACACTTATCAATGAAGTAGACATACTGTTGATTTTTTTTCATTTAATACAGGTATACTTGAAAATTACATAAATATTTTGAAAATGTTGTGAAAATCTTCATTCCTATGTGTATTGTAAGTTGTGTAGAATTTCCCGAAGTTTAAGTCGAAGAATGTCCTTATGTGACATGTAAATCCCAAGGTTAAAGATCTACTTGAGTATCTGGTTGAAATGGATGACTGGTTACCAATTTGTGACTGCTGAATTTTAAATTCATCTATTAACATTATATATATTACAAATAATGTAAATAAGACCAAATATACACATTTACAAGGTCTGTGTTTTAACAAAGTCATTTTGACCTTTCATTTTATTTGTACAAATTATCAATTAATACTTGTTAATATCAATCATTACAGATCAAATATAATTCACATGATTCACAATTTCACCCATGCAGCTAAAATAGGTTGGGATTGTAAGGGAGGTAACTCAAGTGGAAAACATACAGAAAAATATGGTCTTTTGTTTTTTGAGCTTAAGTAAAACAATGTAGTACAATTTCTGTCATTTGCCATCAAAGAACAAGCTATGTATGGAACTAATTTCTCTAAACACACATAATTTTAATGATGTAAAATGTATTCATAGAATCAAGAATATAATTACATTTTACATGTACCAGAAGAAAAATATAAACATGGAATTTATGATGTAACCAAACACTATTAGGTAGCACAACAGTGATGATAATCCCTGTCAGTATTTACAATTGGTTAATATTTTGTTTTCTTAGTTATTCCGACGAGTAGCTGCAGCTCTACCAGGAATGGAAACAACAGAACCAAAAAAGGGAGAAAGTATCCTTTGTGTATGTGATCTGTACTGTGGTCCAGTGAAGTTTATCAGGAGACAGGTAAACCTGATCTTAACTTTATATTAGAACTGTACAACATCTGTACTATGGTCCAGGGTTAAGTTTATCAGGAGACCGGTAAATCCAATCTTTATCTAACTGTTTATTTTTTGTACTGTGGTCCAGGGATAAGTTTATCAGGAGAAAGGTTAACCTGATCTTAACTTTATCTAACTGTACAACATCTGTACAATTGTCCAGGGTTAAGTTATCAGGAGAAAGGTTAACCTGATCTTAACTTTATATTATAACTGTACACACCATCTGTACTGTGGTCCAGGGTTATGTTTATCAGGAGAAAGGTAAACCTGATTATAACTGTACAACATCTGTACTATGGTCCAGGGTTAAGTTTATCAGGTGACAAATAAACCTGATCTTAGCTTTATCTAACTGTACAACATCTGGACTGTGGTCTAGAGTTATGTTTATTAGGGAGTCAGATAAACCTAATCCTGACCTTATTTTAACTGTACAGCATCTGTATTGTGATTCAGGGTTAAGTTTATCAGGTGAAAAATAAACCTGATCTTAGCTTTATCTAACTGTACAACATCTGTACTATGGTCCAGGGTTATGTTTATTAGGGAGTCTTCCTTAAGGGCACGTCCTTAAATGACCATAGCTGTTAATAGGATGTTAAACACAAACAAACCAAACGATTACTTTAAGTACCTAGATAACCATAATATATATTGACTAGAAGTTTTATAGGTGACCGTAACCAATGAGACCATAGATGTGTTGTCCCACCATAATGATCAGAAAAACCTTTTTGTAGAAAATTTGTTCTTTTTGCCATATAAATATTATAATAATCTTGGTTTAGAGATACTTGATTTCTTATAAATAAGTGGGTTTATAAACTTGTCCTCAGACTAAACGTTATGACAAAAAGTTTGGCCTAGACCAATTATTATATAAAATGTAACCAGAAAAGAAATAAGTAGTGTTTGTAAAATATGTAACCAGATAAGAAATAAGTAGTGTTTGTAAGTGCAGTGTGACTAGGCACTGAAGCCAGTAAAGCTGATAGTGACGGTAATCTAACCAGCTTGATGTAATAGCTTTGGATGGACAAGGGAGTTAACTCAAAGGTAGGTGGTAGAAAGCTTGTAGTAGGCTTGTGTGGTCTCTGTATACTGTTTATATGTCTGGATATCCTACACAACATGTTGTCATAGCACATGTATTATAGCAATCGAAAGAGGTAGCATTCAAAGATAACATATCATTGATTTAATGACAATTTTGTTATAATTGTTGAAGATCATGTTCTGTTTTTGTTGATTTAAAGTTTTGGTTGATTTAACCCTTTCACCACTGTAGACCAAAATGGACTCATCCTGATCAATGCTATGGTAGAGTCTACTAAAGTGACATAGGGGTGAAAGGGTTAAAGAAAGAATGGTAATTTCTTCAAAATAAGATACAGAGCAAGAATAGTTTCTTAATAATCTAAAACAACTACTTGTTTGTAATACTCACTCTTGGCCTTTGATTGGTTTTAATATTTTTGTAAATATTTGAATATTAAAAATCAAAATGAACAAAAATAATGCCTACATTGATATTCTAGAGAATTTTGATTTAGGTTAACACACACTAAATACCTACACGAGAAAAAAAAATCCGATATCTAGCTATTTATGGATACTAATTCAATGCTTTTGGCAATAGTATTAAAAACAAAATAATTTCCCTTAGATAGCTCAAGGTTGATTGTTTGCATTTTTCTCTATTATTTGATTTGAACTTTATTAATCATATATACATGCATGCTTTGCCTTGCTACAGTCCTATTTTACTTATACTGCTATCACTTCACCTTGCCTGTTATGCTTTTTGCTATAATGTATTCATTTGCATTTTTGCTGAATAACTTTTAGTACTAATTGTCTCACTTTGCATATGATATTAACATGACTCTGCTTTCCTTAGTACAACTATTTCAGCTTCCTCTATAAAGCTATAGGCCTGTTAATATATGATCCATTGTTTTGATCATACCAATTTAACAGTAGAAACATTAAATACAAAATATATCAAATTATCTTTTTTAATTTTATTACGTTTTAATTAATTTTATAATGAATTAAACGGTTACACAAGGATGATGACAAGCCAGTAGTTTTCAGGTAGAAATCTACAAAAAATCCAACTGTTATGTAGTATTTGCACTGTAAAGACTAAATAAGATTATGCTAATGTGTTTATATATTAAACCAGCATACTTCATATTTTTGATATGATACAGTAACATTTTAATACAGTGGGAAAAGTAGAGAAGTATCCCAACCCAATGCTGTAAACAGTCCAAGCAGATATGTGTGTGTACATTGTATGAAGCTTATATCCTTAAATGGGTTTAATTATTATCATATCCTTGTGGTGAAGCATTATTTTTCATTAACTTCATCATTTAAAATTATTACAACTGGACTTTTAGGAATTAAGGCAAAAACAAAAGATCACAAGAATTTGATCTGTTAATTCTTTCAAGTTAACAAAGATAATATCTTGTATAACAATGTTTTCTTTACAATCGACTATGTATGGTTTGGGCCTTTTTTGGCCCCCAAATCCATCAAAATTGAAAATCTGCAATAGAAGTTTCAAACGAATGTTTCTTTAATTTTGAATACTTCCCCAGTACTATTATGTAAATATTTATTTGTGTTTTCAATTTTGGCTGCTATGGTAACTAGGTCATATTTGCATAAATTATTGAAATTTGATTATTGAGTCAATTTTGACAGGTTTTCACATAGTTTTTCTCTTAGCTACCATAGAGCGCACTATTGAACAAACTTTATATTTCTCCTAAAGATGTATTACAGGTGCCTACACATTATCCTTTGATATTAAGTTTGTTCAAGCATGCCTTCTATAGTTTCTAGGAGAAAAACTATGCAAAATATCCCAATATTCACTGAATATTCAATTTTTTCTAATTTATGCAAATTTGAACTTGTTACCATGGCAACAATAATTAGAAATATAAATAAATATTTTCATAACAGTATTTAGGAAGTATTCGAAATTAAAGAAACAGTCATTTCAAAGTTCATTTAAAGGTTTTGAATTTTGATGCATTTGGGGGCCAAAACGGGCCCAAACCATACATAGTCCTTCGTTATAAGTGTGAAATTAAATGAATTTGTGAAATACAGTGTAGGTAACCGTGAAAGTAGGGCTGGTGTTACTTCTCATTTAATTATCATACCCTTTAATGGAAATAAATGGGTTTCTCAAGTAGCTGTAACTGTGGATGGAACATATGAGATGATGAATTATTCTGTATTAAAATGCAGATAAGTTTATCAGAGCATTTGAGGATAGACTTTGATAGCAGATCAGCACCTGGCCTATATATCACATGCTAAAGAATATGACCCATCAAATAAAAACGATAGAGAACATAATTGCAAGCAAATCTACCTGCAGTGATATATGATATTTAAATTTTAATCAAAAGACTTGTTTATGTATTGGTGGTGGTGTAATAGAGTGTATATGATTTACTAATTAGAGCTTAATAACTACTAAACATTGGGTAGTCTCCCCTGATTATAGTGGTAAGGTCAGACATTCTCTACAAATGTTTAGTTGTATAGACTAGCATTTAGTAATGGGGAAACTACATTTAAGGTATCTTTAATGATTTTATTACTGCTTTCCATATTTTCATTTTAAATTGGATGTTGTTAGTTTTATTTGGTTTGTTTTTGGTTTCCTTAACTTTGATTTCTTCAGTGACGGAGGTAAAATTAAAGGACACCCCGACAGAACCGGAGGCTAAAGAAGGAGGATGTACCTGTTAGTCTGTCTGTTTGTCCGTTTATGTCTTGTCAGTCTTGTGCCTGTTTGTCACTGTGTACAGGCCTTGGTTGTGTGAAATATGTGTATTGTGTGTGACATCACGTGGAGACTACATACAACATAGATATTTATGTGTTATTGTATATAAGTCAGTGTTGATGAACTTATACACATTAAATGTGATAATGACAAACCCAGAGGACCTGAAAATAAGTACATTATAGGGAATCAATTGATGGAGTGTGATGTTCAGAGAAGATTTCATGTCAGGGGACACAACTATGTGTATGACATTGTTAACACAAGGTTTATGTACTTAAAAGGTATTTATGTATACATTGTACATGTAATATAAAGTATTTATGCATACCTTGTATATGTAATACATTGTTTTTACAAAGTATTTATGTATACATTGTATATGTAATACATTGTTCTTACAAAGTATTTATGCATACCTTATATAGGTAATACATTGTACTTACAAAGTATTTATGTATACATTGTATATGTAAATACATTGTTCTTACAAAGTATTTAGGTATACATTATATGTTAAGAGTATATTGTAATCAAAAAATATTTTTGCTTACATTTTATTTATCGAAAATACTAACTTAGTACAATGTATATATCAATGTACATGTCAGGTGAATGCTTTCCATTGGTGACAGTTTAAACTTTATGGAGTAATTAAGAAAATTGAGTTCATACTAATTATCAGTAAAGTTGCTAGTCAATTCTACCAAGAGTAAGACTATAGATTACCGTTAAGGTAAAGCGTACCACTACATCTACTATTATCACCAAGAAGAGTTCCACTCAGAGTGTTTTTGACTTTGAGTTTTCTCCCTCCCATAAAGAAGATAAAGCAATCCAAAAGTAGTGTTTCCAGCTTAAAGTAACTTCCCCTGTCAACTTTTTCTTAGGCTTTGCTGCCAATAATTTACACACTATTTTTTTATGCTTTGCAATTATTTTTATTCCTAGATAAGAATATTTATAAAGTGTATACTTTGTAATGTAAAGGTCCCAATTTCAACCTCAGCAATTTTTGAGGTTTTTTTTTTTAATTTCTATTTTCAAATATCAAATTTCATACATCTATAATTCTGTTTAATG